TAAAATTAAAAAATTCTAATCCGCTAGTGGTTTGGAAAAAAATATTATAATAACTTAATGTTATTAAAGGTAAAAAAACAAAATTGAAATATATTAGATAATTATTAATTAAAAAACGTGACCACAAATTAAAAAATTAAAATGGATAAATTTGTCAATAAAATTAAAAAATTTTAATTCGCTAGCGGTTTGGTACAAAAAGTTACATAAACTAGCTTTTTCAATCCGCTAGCGATTTGGACCCTAACCGCTATCCGCCAGTCTCTAACCGCTAAATAAAAATTTTACCAAACATTTTACTTGTAGCGGTTTCGAAATATATAAATTTACCAAACACCTATATTTAGCGGTTTAGGTAAAACCGTTAACCGCTACCCCAAAACCGCTATACCAAACGGGGCCTAATTGTCAGAGCACGCGAGGAAGGGAACAACAACCTGTATTGCATTTCCAGGAAAGGAAATTGCTTTTGCCTTCTTGAATTCCCACTTACAACGTGGAATTCTCTTCTTTTTATTTGAATTTTTTTATTTAATTTAGTAAATAATTTAGTAACTTTTATATTTTATTTATTATCTCTAAATATTTTTAGATTTATTTTTTATTTTTATTTTTATTGCAATTTAATCAAATTTATTAATTTTTTAATAACAATTTCACTCTATTTAATCAAATTGATTTTCAATTATATTTTTTATAAATTTTTACTCAATAAAATTAATTTTGAAATAAAACTAATTTTGTAAGAGTAATAAATTATTTTTCAATATCTGAAAAACTTTAATATTTATCACTTATTACTTCAACTCTTTTTTTTTTTTAAAATTCTCTTTTGTAGTGAAAACTATAATTATTGATATATTTTAATAGTTTATACAATCCATTATGAACTACTTTGCTGGTCAAGACTACTTTGTTTTAATTTTAATTTAATTTTTTTAGTTATTTTTCCATTAAAACTAATAAAAGTTATATTTCTCTAACAAATAAAAACTTAACATATTATATAAATGATATTTAAA